TCTCTGGATTTTAATTTTTTTATTCACAATTCCAGCAGCTCAGAGATGGGGGGACTTCTCTTCCTATCAGGACAAATGAGGGAAAACAAAATGCAAATTAAGGATTTCTCCTTTTGCTTCCACAGATGTTGTCAACTTGGACCTGAAGTCTACCCTCAGGGTTCTGTACAACCTTTTCACGAAGTACAAGAACGTTGAGTGATCCTGGAAGCTGCTGAGGTCTCTTCATCTTTCAACCTCCTCAGGCAGAAGTTACAATAAACACGCCCTCTGCATGCTCCCATTGTGCCTTATGCTATGTACTTCGTGCATTCTTCCTACAGCTGATGTGTTCTCTCTGTAGCTGTCTGTAAGACAATCCCACTGAAAATGATGCATGTGTATTCTCTAGGTCACTTGAAAACGTGTAGGTATTTCACACTTTTGCCAAATGGATCTGTTGTTTGCTATAATCCACAAATGTTCTTTTGAGAAAGGAAATATACCACTAACTACTTTAATAAGCAGGGAAAACATGAGACCTTCCTCATGGCTCGAGGTTCCTTGCTTCTGCAGAAGGTTTTCTTTTTCATACTCCTTGATTGCAACTGGCATTTGATGATTTTCCAGGCTTAGTGTGTTAACAATAGAAAATCACCATTGGAATTTATTTAGAAGCTGAGCCTTTTCTATTAAATAAGGGTTTGTGTGTTCTGTTGGGTGGGTTGGGCTGGGGGGAATTATAGGCACTGTCTGAAGCTAATGGCAAAAGCTTCAGTGTTTGTACTCACCTCTTTCTACTCAGTGTTACTTCCATTCAGTGTTTACACAGAATAAGTCTTGCAATGGGATGACCAATTAATCTTCTGATGTCTAGTTTTCATTTAATCTCTTTTCTAGGGGAAATTTGGTTGCTAGGGCCACTGTCACCTGTTAAGGAGGCAGCTTCAGTCAGGCTGGCCAGGAGCTGGTCACACAGGGGCTGGATTAGTGCATTTTCCCCAGTCCTTCCTGAAACAAACAGAGGGAATGTGCTGGAACAGGAGCCGTCTGAGTGGGTTTCTGAGGAGAGCTTTGTGGAGGAAATGGGATTGGCATTTCCAGAGTAAATGACATGTGGGATATGTGTTCAATATCAATCTTTTCCTTCGAGCACATAGAGGAGAGATTTGATTGCTGCTTTTATGTACCACAGCAGCAACTTTTGTTCCTTTGGGTGAAACGCTAGGCAGAGTGCCCTGAAGGAGAGCAGTTAGAATTGCTCTTCTCCATGGCCCCACTTGAGTCCTGTTGTAAGTCAGCATCTTCTTTCCCTAAAAATCGATTTTTTTTTTTACACCAAACATTTGCTTCTGAGCTCAGGTTCAAGAGGAAACATGCTATTTGAATGGTATCATTTTACAATTGGGATTTTCTCCTTCCCTTCTCAAACATTTTTTCATCTCAAAGGGAAAGAAATGAGATTCTGCTTCTTTGCTTTGTATTTTTGGGTTCTGAGTTCTAGTATTTGGATTAGTTGGATCACCTCTCCTCACACCTCTAAAAATAAAAGGTGGTAGGAAGTTGTCGTTTCTTTGCATGAAAAATACAGGTCCCCTCTGCTCCTCCAGGCTCTCTGGGGAATCTTTGCATGCCTGTACTTTAGGAAGGAGCTGACCTCTTGCTGTTTATACTGAGCCTGGAACAAGTGGCTGTGCAGTTCAGATGGGGCCATGAACTCCAGCACAGCACCCACAGAGGAGACTTGCACAGTGCTAAGGCCTGGTGGGACACCTCTCCTGCAGGTGAATGAAATTGGTCAAACTTCTGTGCTGAGAAATAAAGGTATCATGAGGCTGGAAGGTCACTGAGCTGAAAGGTCTCTCAAACTTTTAGTTCAAGGCAGGGTTATTTGCAAGAAGCAAGCCTGTTACAGAGTTGTTATTGTACCCCCCTTCCTTCAGGTGATGTGGAGGTGCCAGCTCTGTTTATATTCTCTGAGTTGCTGGAAAAGACCTCCAGAGAATGTAGTTTTTGAAATTGCAAGCAGTATTCATATCGAAAGCAAACAGAAGATAAAAAGAAGAGCTTGGTGAGGGTGATTTGGCTTTGGAGAGGGGAATGGCTGTTTCTGAGCTGGGATCACACAGCTGGCACCTTCAGGACACGTGAGCAGAGGTGAGCAGGTTATGACAGGTTATAAGAGTGTCTGTTTTGTTGAATTATGTGTTTCTGGTCCCCTTGCTACAGCCAGGGTCTCCTTTAGCATTCCTTCTGTTAATATCCCTGTCAGCCAGGACTGCTCCCTGCATCAGGTGTCACAGCCCCTTCTGTTGTGGTTTTGTTTGTTGGTAGATGTTGCACAGGGAAACAAATTTTTTTCATTCCTTGGCTCCTGGCTGTCTGGCCAGCTCGCTGTTCTGTAGACACTGTATTTATTGTTGACCAGACCTGTGAGCAGGGCAGGTTGAACTGAAGTGTGGCTTCATCCCAGTCAGCCCAGTTTCCAGGGGGAGCCTTGTAGGTGAAGCTTCTCTGAAAGCCTGCTTTTGTCATACCTTTCTGTGACACATGCACAATAATTCTTTGCCTCTCAGAAAGCTGAGTCAGTGTTAGAAATGTTATTCATGATATATTTGTGTTACTGGGGTTTTACATATGGGTACCAGTCTGAATCCTGTTGAGTTCACCTGGAATGCTGAATGCTCTGCACCATTAAAGCTCCCACATTTTTAAGTACTTAATGAATATCTGTCTTTTCCAATCCCTACAACTTGACTTTTAGGTGCATTTCCTTGACACACCCTGTTACAGTGAGCTGTATTACCACAGAAGAAACTCAGATAGTTCTCAGCTGCATTCTGTTTTTCAAGATGAAAAACCAATAGTAGCAGATTTTTAAAATCAATTTAAACCTTGTAGGATTTCTTACTCATCTTCCCCACACCCCAGTGCTTTCAGTATTAATGCATTTTTAAGAGTCTTTTCTACTGTTTTTAATGTTTACTCTGGATTTCTAACTACTAAAAACCAGCCTTGCAGATAAAATTCTGGGCTTGTCATATGTTGGAGACATCCATCTTAGTGATAAGAGTTCTGTACTGTAAGCAAGTTACAATGCAATGCTATGTTTGCTAGAATTCACAACAGGAGTGTTTATGCATGGTTTTTGACAGTTGTACTATTTATTCAAATAAACAAATAATGATCACTATGTTTTCTACTTATTTTTTTTTTCCTCAATGGAAAAATCTGTGGGAAGAATTTTGGATGGTGAGCTTCCCTTTGCTCTGGTGTGCAGAGTGTAGAGTGGCTCTCCAATACAGCAGGGCCACGTGGAGAAGTAGAAAAATGCATTATCAGAACTTGTCATTGCTGCTGAATCCTTGAATTGTTCTTCAGTGGCTATTTTCATGTGGGGCCAGGTGTTTGTAGTGGGAATGTGTGCATGAGAAGTGCTTTGGGAACTTACAGAAACACCCACCCTGGGTCAGCCCCTTGGAGCTGGTCCAGGAGCTTCTTTGCTCTATTTTCTTGTGATATCTCCTCAGATTCTGGTAGCAGAACAAAATTTGTCCTTGTTAGGGGCTCTCTTCTTGAGAATAAGGCTCAGCAGAATTTCAGGAATGTTAAAAGGGTTTGCTTATTACTCTAAAATCTAAGAGAAAGGGTAGAGAAAATTCTAGGAACTATATAACCATGTATTAACAGTCTGCAAAGCTACAAATACATGAAAAATATATAAAAAAGCAAAAGTTTTTAGGCATCATAGGCATGAAATCAAATGCAACTCATACAGGATTGACTACTGCTGTTCTGCAGAAGTCTGGATACTCCATGCACTGGTCACTAAATCAGGTTTTGGAGGAAAATAGATGTGTTAATAAATACAACTCACACCTGGAGGAAATGTCCAGGGAAGATGGTTTCTGTAGGAAGCTCTTCCTCTTTAATCAGTGATGTAAAAGGGGAGGAAGAGCAGCAGCACTCCCTGCTGGGGATAACTCTTGTCTTACTGTGAGGATTTTGGGTCCTGGTGGGGTTAACTTCCTCTCTAAGGACAAATGAATTAATTTTCTCGGTTTCTCCTTCTTGCTGGGTAGGTAGAATGGTCCTGATCTGCTCTACAAGATACTTGAGGGAGCATGAGGAAAAGGTGTATTGGAATGTAAAGACAGTATTTGCACCACTTAATTAGTGGCTGGTTTGCAGTTTTTTTCTGTCTTTCCTCAGAGTTAGGATTAAAAACACGAAAGAGATTAATTTTCTTGTGTTTGTGTTTGGTTGTTTATTAAATCCTATCTAAATACAGAGAGTTCTGCAACACTTCTAGCTACCAGCTAAAAGTGAGCAAAATGGAGGTGAACTTAGCTAGTTACAAGGTTTCTTAAAGCTAAGCAATCCAATAGAGAATTAACACCTATATTATTTATATTTTTGACCTAATAACCAAACTCCTGTAGCCCGCAGTGCAGCACTAACTCTCCAGCCAGAAGCTACTACCTGAAATCATGAAGAGGAAGGAAGAAGAACACAGAAAGGAAACAACACCCCAAATCCTCCATCTTGTCCTATACTTATTAGTATATTATAGAAACCTCAAATTTAAAACCTTTCACCACATGAAATCACACTTTTATTTTAATCACACACCTGTGACTCTAACTCCATCACTCAAATTTGGAAGCCTTCTCCAAGACTTCAGGTCAAAAGCAGTGTTCTCCAGGGGCTCAGTGCCAGAAAGCATCCAACATCAGAATATGATCTTGTCTGCTCTTGGCTGATTTTTTTATTATATACAAAGCAAAAGTGCTCTGGGAGTAGCCCAGTCATGCTGGGCAGTGCCGTCCAAGAATGATCGTATCTTTTTAATACTCTCTGCTGTTCCAGGAGTTGCAGGGCTGCACCTTTCCTGCACTTGTACTCCTGTTTATTTCAGTCTCTGCTGCAGGGACCAGCACACAGACAGTGGAGTTCCGGACCGTGGTTTCGTTTTTAAGAGCAGAGCACTGCAGCACAACTTCCCCTTGTGTGCTTTGTGTGCTTTGTGCTGCCCTGCATGGGAGACCTCCGAGCCTGGGCTCAGCTCTCTCCCCCTGAAATTGCTTCCTGACTGCTGGGACGAGGTCTTGGAAGAGCTTCTGGAGAGTTACTGAAGGAGAAAATAGTAAGTTTGGAAAATGGGACTCCTCTGGGCGCTTTTTTTCATAATTAGTGTTCTTAACTGAAGATGTTTGTGTGTCTGTGTGGATTGTTCTCAGTAAGATAACATCTCTTCTGATGCTTATGAGCAAAGATGGCTCCTGAAAAGTCTGGTACTACACCCACAATGTTCATTCTCTTCTTTCTTATTTCTGTTTTCAATTCTGATTTCCCAAAGGTGGAAATACTACTATTAACATTCCCATTTGTTTTTTTTTTTTTCTCTCCTTCTGTGATCCATTTAGGAAATGCGTTTGAGCTAGGCAGAGTAAGGCTTTTGTCTTTTCAAACAGGAAATGAAACAGGTGAAACAGTTTGGTAGCATTGGAAAGTGCCTTGTGAATATTCCACAGCTGATTTGTAAGCCAGAGACCCCCATTAGTGCTTTGTGTGGTGCCTTGGGGATATCTGGGAGCCAGAGACTGTGAACACTCATGGAGGAAAAGTGACCTGCTCTGACCCAACATAAGAATTAGTTGTTGATAGTAGTTGTGACATTGTGAGCTTGTGCAATAGCCTAGCTCCTGACCTAAGAACAATTCACTTCTTGGCAGCCACAAGAAATCAGACCCCCCTTAGCTTTAAAGCAAAACCTGTACATCCATGGCATTGTCAGAGAATGAACGTTTAATTCAGAGAATGCCATTTCCTTTTGAATGGCCTGTAATTAAGCATCTATTTTATTGAAAGATGCCGTCATGGAATGCCTGTACAGTCAGTATTCAAGCAGCTGTCTCTTAAAATGTACTCCAAGTACTGACAAAAACTTGTGCAGGAGGATGGGGGCTGGAAAAAAACCAGGATTCCAGCCATAGCTCTGAGCAGCAAATTTAACTGAGGGGTGGCAGGGGCTGTTTGCAGCAAATATGGAAATTTGTGTGTGAGAACCAACTCTTCTGGCCTTTGCTGTTTCTCATTAAACAGCTCACCCAAGGAGGTGTCCCACCCTGGCATGTTCCACTTCGTGTTGTTCCTGCAGGATGCTGCTCTCTGAGAGGCTGTTGCCTGGGACCAAGCCTCACCAATATGCTGCACTGCCACATGAAGGACTGCTTGTGAATGCTAATTATGAGCAATAAGCAATCCGTCTATTAAATGCTGAAGAGATGCAGTTCCCAGGCTCTGAAATGCCTGTGGGAAATCAATATTGATAAATGCAAGCTGAGATACAATAAATGATGAGCTCTCAATGGTGTGTTGCTATGCAGGAATGAGATCTAACAGATACTTCCCAATAAAGAGTCAGTAGTGATGAAAAAAGCAAATAGGACTTAGGAGGAGAGGAGCAGAGACTCCTGTGGATGCTGCAGTGCACCTCTCTAAATGTGGGCAGGTCTGGTTTCCAGCACTTCCAAAAGGCTGTGATCATGCTGGAGGAAGCTCAGAAAAGAGCACTGAGGAGGACCAGCTGGTTTTCCAGGGAAGGAGAACTGTTGGCTGTCTTCTGGGTTTTGGAAAGAGATGGGCATGGAGGGTTTGGGGTAGTAAGATGGAAGTGACACAGAGCATTAACACAGTGGTGTGAAAAATGTGGGTCAGTTGGTCTTTGCCTTCAGGGGAAGCTGGTGGGTCAGAACAAGAAACAGGAGATGGAGCTCCATGTGATGTAGAGCCACACTCCACCTCCTCAGGTGAGAGAGACAGACACATGCTCCAGGGGTGAGTGGGGACTTCATGGGGAGTAAAGGTGTTGGCAGCTTCTGGTCACCAAGCCCCCTGCTTTGCTTTAGGAAGGCTGAGCAGACTAGTGAAGTGTTTTGGGGAAGTGTCTCTGCATCCTTGCACTGCTTACAGCCTTTGGGGTTCTGGTTTTTTTCCCTAAGGAAAAACTGACATGGGCTGGATACCAGGCAAGTTAATTTTACTCAGGGCAGCAATTTTAACTCTGACTGACACACAGGACTGAGACCCTAGAGGGTATTATGCTATATTATTGCAAATTCTGAATTTCAGGCCTTTCCAAATTTTAGAGTGGCTTCTGATATTCAGGTTCCTTGGACAAAAAGAGCCTGAGGGTGTGGCAGGCAGAGCTCACCACTTTGATAGATGAAGGAAGTAAGAGATACGCAAGTTGAATATTGCAAAGCTGAGTGAGACTAAGCTGTGGTTTACACAGACCATTTCTGTTATGAGCTGGACTTCCCCAAGGCATCACAGCTATCAGAAATTTAAATTTAAAAGTAAATTGTCCTTGGGTTGCTCTCTGTTAATTAACTTCTCTCAGTTAATTTCATCTGGGCAGTCTTATCTCAGACAGCTCAGTTGTTCCTCAGGCAGTACATCACTCAACTTCCTTTTTTATCAAGCACTTTTTAAAGATAACATTCAGTTTTGCTGCCACCATAATGAAGTGAGTTCTCTTGTGACCCTTTCTCCTAGTGCCTCGCTGGCAATTTTGTACCGATTTGTTTTACCAGGTTGATGTGCAAAAGCATCTAATTGCTATTTTCTACAGATATTCTCAGCTTTGGCAAAATCTGTGTTAAAATACATGTTGATAACACGCTTTGACTGGAGCCTGTAAGAAATGTGTGAAAGCCTTCAGAGCAGCTGTGTGCTGTTTGGGGTATAAACACCAAACCAAGCAGAGGAAGTGATGAGCAGAACATCACTTTGGAGATGTTCTGTGCCACAGGATTTTCAGCAGGTGCCTTGCTCTGGGTGGTGGGAGCATCTCACTTCACTGCAGCAGCAGCCAGGGCTCTCTCTGGTAACAGAATGGTGGGAGCTCCATTCCTAAAACTAGGATTAGCCACTCATTTAAATGCTCTGGATTGCTCTTTAAAAGTGCCATTCCCTCTCATTTCTCAGGAAGCCTTAGGAAACAGGGCACCCTGGGTAGAGTGGGACAACTCTCCTGAGGGCACCTCTAATATGGAGCATCACATTTTCTTCTTTAAAAACAGCACAAAACCAGACAGCATCCCCTCTTCTTTACTGGCCAAGCAGTAAAAGCCTTCCTGGTCATCAATCACATCTGCTCTGACTTCCAGAGATTTTTTGACTATTGGGAAAGATGAGTTCTCTTACTCAAGCTAGAACCATAGTCTGCCATAAATGTCCAGAGCTCTCATCCTCCTGTAATTTCTTTCCCCTCTGCAGGCCACAGTACAGTTGCAGTTTGTAATTATGATTTCTGGCACTTAAATAATTTACTTTATAAAGAACCATCTTGCTTCTTGGAAGTCTGGAAGGTTGGGATCAGAGAGTGGTGGGGAATGGAGCCACATCCAGATGGTGAGGGGGGACAAGGGACAGGACAAGAGGAAACAGCCTCAAGCTGTGCCAGGGGAGGTTCAGGTTGGATATGAGGGAGAAGTTTTGCACTGAAAGGGCGGTGAAGCATTGGGAGGAGCTGCCCATGGAAGTGTTGGGGTCACCATCCCTGGAGAGATTCAAAAGCAATGCAGATGTGGCACTTGGGAACATGGTTTAGTGGTGGGTGAGCAGTTGGGATTCAGTGATCTCAGAGGTCTTTTCCAATCTAAATGATTCTCCGACTCTATACTAGAATTTGTAAGACACTATTCAGATGCCTGTAGCTGACCCTGTTTCCCCACAGCTGTACCAGGTCTGATAAAGGAAGCTGCTTATATGTAGTAACTCGTCTCAGTAATTTAACTACTGGGTTCTTGGTTTAATATTCCTTAATTATTCCTTAATTCCTTATTGATAATTTTTATATTTTCCAGCACATATCCATTAATACCTAGGGACTGAAAGCTTATTTTTCACTTCAGTTGAAATAGGTTTTTACTTATCTCATACAGGAAAAATACACTTAAACGTAATTCAAGCAAATTTTAGTTCAGGTCTTCAGGTCCTTTTTTCCCTACATTTTGATGATTAACAGAAAAAAAATGAAAATTGTTGTCAACTTCCTTTTCTTTGCACACAAAGACATTTTAAGATTTTTAAAAAAGCAGCTCGTGATGAAATAGTAACTGATTAAAAAACCCCTTCAGTTGACCTATTTTCTTAGCACTAATTTTGATCTGTACGTGCCTTTGCTTATGTTCCCTTCCCCACTATGTTTTTTACCAGTTTATCAGGAGTGATTAAAGAAAATGGATCCAGACTTAAGTGCACTTACACAGTCCTCTACACTTGATCGATTCTTAACTGAGGATGTCATCACTAAAGGTATGTGTTTTATGAACCTGGATAGAGAAAAGGCCAAAGAACCACCTGAAGGGCCAAACAGAAAATGTGCTGTACAAATGAATTGTGTGTTTTTCAGCAGTGATCCCATGGCTATATCAGAAATGAGTAAGCTCTGTGTGTCTAATTTGGCTGCTGACTCTTTGGGGGCAGATCATGAAGAAGCAAGACAAAGTCCAGCTGGTTCTTTAACTGATTTAAGTTTCACACTTGTGGACCTGACTAAGTGTGTTTTCCTCTCTCTAGAATTGTCCATCTAGCTCTTACTGATTTGAAGAACACTGAGGCATAATTTCCAACAGCAGGCTTAGAAGTCTGCTATACCAGTTTCTTGCCCATAAGGAATTAATTAAAATGAAAAACTAATGTTTCTACATATGGCAATTAGCCATATTGGGAATATCAAACTGATAGCAGATTTAGCTGCAAACTTGCTTTAGTCATACCTGAGAATTCTGATGGATCTCGTTTGTTTCCACCCATAGGCCAGAAGAGGAAACTCATAAAACAGACCTCAAGCAGCAACCCCAAACTGGAAGAATTGAAACTGGTACCACTTCTTTCACTTTATAGTTTAACCCCTACCTCGAGTTGTGTTAAAGGAAACAAAGAACCTGGTTCTTTAACCTCTTTCAGCCCTGTAAATTGCCCAGCTCTCTGACCCTAGCCCCCCACTCTCTACAGATGGGAATGAGCTCTGCTTTTGGCATTTGGGCTCCACACAAGCCAAGAGGAGCTTTTGTGTCAGCACAGTGTCAGGGTGGCTGGGGCCATGCAGGGTCAAGCTTCCAATGCAGTGATCCTTGCTGGACACACAGACCTGAGTGGCTTCTGATGTGCCACCTCTCCTAACCTGGGCCGTGTGGGTCAGCCACACCAGAAGCACCCAGTTGCTCTTTCATTTTGGTGGTAACAAAGCAGCTACGAGAATCCAGCCAAAAACACCGGGCTGGGACCACAAACAGGCCCATGTCAGCATTTGCTGTGACTGAAGAGAGATATGGTGCAGGATTGCTGCACTGATCCCACGGTAACCTTTAGGATTGCTCTACTGATTTGTAACAGCCTTCAGCAGCAGCTGGCTCAGCTGGCAAGGTTAGCAGAGAGCTGAGGGGGGTGGGATGAAGAGTATGCAAGTCACCAGGAATTCGGGATGAAGGCTTTCAGGCACTTGTATGGTACATTGCCTGCTTGAGGTAACTGTGAAGGATGAATCCCATTCCACAGGCAAGTACTTTATTTCCATCTAATTTTAAAAGTCTCCCCAGTGTGTTCAATCACTGTTTCGATTTCTCTAATGGCACAGTCCATGTAATGAAACTTCCTGGAAGAAAAGTGGCAAGTATCGTATGAGGCCAGCACTCTTTGCTGAAATTGTTACAAATATTATGAAGAGCAGCTTAAGATATGTGCTGTTGTTTGTATTTTGTAGCATTATAAACATGTAGGTAGGTGTGTTTCTATATTAGGTATTCATACACATTTGAGCAAAAAGATTTAACTTTGCCTTTCATGATGTTGTTATACCAAAGGTAAAGTCTGAAAGGTGGTGCTGCACAATGTCTACAGAAAGGCTAATGTTATTTTGAGGTTTCCAAAAATGAAAAGTTTTCTTCAGTTATGAAGATTTCTGTGAGCTTCAGTGCTTAATCAATTTCCTGTCAGAGATACCTGAAATGGGTCATCACTGTCTAATTTCTTTTCTTTGGGTGATGAGGAGATGGAAATTATGTCCTGAGGGAAGCAGAGTCCTCTGGGTGCCCATCAGTTCCCCTTGACTGCCTTCTTAATCTAAAGATTTGATGGCTTCTCTAGAGAAAATTTGGGATGGAGACAGGGACAGGGAGAAATCTTCAAGGGAAGAACAAGGGAAGTAAAGAAACTCACTGGAGAGAGAGACTGATTCACTGGATTTTCATTTTGAGGTGGCTTTGGAGAACTGAGAAATACGGAACGGCTCCCTGTAGGTGCTATAAATACCAAGCTGCATGTAAAATAAAAGATGGATACATTCAGAAGTCAGCACCAAACTTCTCGAAATATTCCTTCTCTACTTTCCCTGTTTACCCATTTTTAGATGTTTTTAGACATGTTTTTAGCCATGAGGCTCTGCTCTGCAGCTGAGTGGGGCCCCCACGGCTGGGCAGAAAGCAGAGCTGTGCGAGCTGCAGGCTGTGGCTGTGGCTGTGTTGGGCTGGGAGAGCAAAGGAGGGATGGCACAGGTCTGTGCTCAGCAGTGTTTGCTGCTTTCCTGACTTCCCTCTGGCTGTACCCTTGTGTTTGGGGTGCTGCTCTACCCCTCACACATCCAAAGTGTCCCCAAGCATCAGCTGAAGAGCTGAGCTTTCTGCTCTTGTTGCTTCTTAGCAGAGGACGTGCATTACAGTTTGACAGCTTCTCAGTGCAGGCCTTTTTATTTCTTGTGCAATTCCAAGCTTCTCAGAGACTTTTCAAACCCTTCTTAGATTTTTGTTAATGTTGGCGAGCTTACAGGAATCTGCTATGAATTTTCTCCTCCGTTTACAGCAAGTGAGAAGGATATTATCCACTCCAGACACTCACTCATAACAATCACAGCAATAAAAGCAATACCCTTCCCTCTTACAAGAGGGATGTTCATGTTGGCAGCTAGCTGGGGCTACTGCTTTTCTGTTCTGCTTCACCAGGTCATCTTCCCTCTCTCCCAACATATGTGAATAAAATACATCCTTGGAGAAGTGCTGAGGAGCTTTGTTCTCCTGTCTAGGAGCACACGTGGTTCCTCTCCCTCCAGACCTTGGCTTCCTGAGCAACTTGCCCTTGCAAAGGCAGGAAGGATATTGGAGGGCCAGTGGGAAGACTGCCATGTTAGAAAGTTCCAAGGAGGTATTTGGGGACTGAGTGGTACAATATTGCAGAAAGAAAAAGGAAACAAAACCAGGAGATGAGAGGGAGGAGTGCTAGTAGTGTGGATGAGTACAAGAAACTACCCACAGAATGAGCCAAGCCTCTTTTCTTACAAACTTCTGCCTGGCAGTTGAATTTGTGTGAATTCTGTGACATGTGATGAAGGCAGAGGATGGGAAATGCAGCCTTTTCCCTGGTGGGAGTGGGAAGAGGGCCTCTCTTCCCAGCTCTATAACAGAATTCCTCAGAATATAAGTAGCAAGATGTCTATCTCACTTGAAAATTAGGAAAAACTAACCCTCTGAAAACCAAAAAGCACAAAGGAAGTGGAGATTGAAAGCAAACCGAGATCTGAGATAAGGGACTGAAGAGAGAGGTGAAACAGAATATAGCAGCTAGTTCTGTACTGTCTAAACAACAGGAATTGCTTTGTTTTCCCCTGCAGTTCTTGACTGGGTGGATTAACAGAACTCTGAAAGACGAACACATAGTAGTTAAAAGTCTGGAGGAAGACCTGTATGATGGGCTGGTACTTCATCATCTCCTGGGTGAGCTGCCACTTGGAGTTCTTGCAGACATCTCATGGAGGAACTTTCCAATCAGAGAATAAACCTCAGGAATTGAAGTAGCAGGGACTTGCCATCACTTCTCACTGCACTGGGTGCCAGCTGTGATAATCACCACTCTGAACAAATTCCCACTATTGTCTTACATGGTTATTTTACTTCTAAGAAATTCTTATTACCTGCTGGTTGACATAATAAGAAGGTTAACTATGAAGTGTGAAATTCAGTGGTTCTGAAATGGAGGGTTTCATAAACCAGGAACACAAAGGTGGCTTGTGGTGCTACCAGAAATATTAGATGGAACCAGCATTGTAATATATGTTTTCCTGCCTTTAAAAATCAAAACAAAACAACAATGCCAACAACAAAAACCCAACCAAAACCAACCAAACAAAAAAGCAATAACAAAAACACAACCAAAAATTTAAAATCTCTCTGTCCAAAGAACTGTTCTGGTATTGGAACTGGGGAAAATCTAAGAGGCTTTTGGCACTATGTGGTGCTTGTATAAAGATGTGACCTCCTGGAACAGCCTGTAATCTATTTCTGCATCTCTCCTGTCCCTACATTTATCTTTCCCTTTTCACTCTCTTTGGGGACATCTTTTAAATCTATCTCCTCTCCACCAATGCTGAGAGCAGCAGCATGAGCAGGACTGACTGATTTTCAGTTTACTTGCCTGAGCAGTGAGCTCAGATTTCTTACATATATGAGTTGATATTGACTTTGTTCATTATCTACAGGAAAGATTCACTCCTTGGATTTCTGTAGAAGGAACGTAAAGAGCTAGGACTGGGGGGGGATGATGCTACAAGGAATGATTTAAATCCTCTCCCTTTTGTAGAGTTCTTAAATGATATTGAACATTTAAATCAAGACTTTGTGTGTTTTGCTGTCATTTTATGTTTCTAATTATTTTCTTTTTCCCTCCAATGATGTTAAAATATGTCCTTCTTCTTCCTATGGACCTTCTGTTAAAGAAAACTTAGGATCTCTCAAGCTGGATGTTGACAGGATTGCATTAACAGAAAAAAAACAACGACAGAAGCTCTCTGTGATCCTGGAAGCTGTGGCCAAGTGTTTGAAACTGGAAGAAAGTCAGCTGAAATGGAGTGTGGAATGTAGGTGCAGAAGTGAAATTGAAGAAAATTATCCATCACAGCCTTCCTGTGCTATAAGGCTGCTGTGAGGCAATGTACTGCCAGCACAGTAATTAAACAACCTGTTTTCAATTACTAGTTGAATCAAAAGTGAGACAGAAATATCTGACCCTGCCTGGGTCTGCCTCCTCTAAGTGTGTGGCTTGTGGATCACTTAAGAGCCCTCAGCATCCCTGCATGTCTCGTTTTTAAGCTGTGCTATTGCTAAATTTTGATATTATATAAACCTCAATCTGGTGCCCCACCTGTGTTATGGCCCTCCATGACTTCAGGGTCCTCTGCACAGGGGGAATTCACGATGTTGGAGGGAGGCCCGCATGTTTTGCACACTGAGCATTGTTTTCTTCCTTTACACTCTTTAGCTATCTTGGCAAAAGACTTACTGAGCACACTGCACCTTCTAGTTGCAATAGCAAAACACTTCGAACCCACCCTGGCTCTGCCTCCAAACGTTCAAGTGGAGACAATCACCATCGAGGTATTTGTAGTTTCAGTATTTGTTACTGTAGATCCTAGAGTCCTTTCACAAGGCTAACCTGCTTAGAATTAGGAGAAATGTGTGTGTAGCTATGAAAGCGATACTTGTATTTTCTGTGAACCACTCCTTTCAATTTCTGAGTTTGTTGGATTAGATTGAGTTTTCAGTTTGGATACTCTGTCTCTAAAAGGGGAAAAGCGCTGTGCTGTTTTTCTTCCTCAGCCAAACAAGGGAATGGTCCAAACTGAAAGCAGCTGTTGGTCTCTGTAAAGAAAAAAAGTGAAGAAATCCTGCTGTTACTGCCTTTAAATGTTTTAAAATAGAAGCTTGTATTCACAAATCATAAAGGTTTTTTTCATGTTGAAGATTTCTTTCTTTAGGTGGCAGGAGTTTTTACTTCCCTTCTGCTGGGGTCATGTCTTAGTATTTTTCTCTACAAGCAAACATCTACACACTTTCTTCCTCTATTTTGTTTCTTAAAGTAAATTCTGAGATCGTAGGAGAATATTGACTACCCCACAATTTGGGCTATAATTGCAAAGATTGGCACCACCAGTGTATGTAAACACAGAATGTTTTTCACTGCCTGAAAGGGAAGAGCAGCAAACACCAAGGACTTCCTCTGATGGGGAAATAAGAGATTTTCTGTTGAAAACTGAAGAGAGCAGAAGGAAGCAGAAGTCTCTCCAAGTACCTGTACTAATTGTACTGGAATTATTGAATAAATGCCCTCTGATTATCATTTAAGGCAGCAAGCAGGTCATGAAAGCTTGTTTATGGAACATTTTTTGTGTGACAAACCCAACATTGTTTGTTGTCCTTTCTACAGAACATCTCCGGAAAATTTAAGACGTCAAATGCTGTGGAATGTATCACAGAAAACAAGTAAGAGTGGATAGATCTAGTTTTTACACTGTCAATCAGAAAAGAAACATTGTGGGTGTGCTCCCCCTTACAAAAAGTGGCTGGGATCATGATGATGAAAAAGGTGTAAGCCCAGGCATGCATATGCATGAGTTGTTTCTCTGATTACTTCCCCCTTTTTTATTTCTCTCTTCACATTTGGCATTATGGTGTGATACCTTTATTTATTCTATATATAAACTTCTCTAAACCAATATGCATGGTTATTCCTGAAGCTTAACATTGACATGGAATTTCACAACAAATATAGTAACAAAATTCCAGGACTGTAAATTTACCTGTGCCAGACTAATTTGGAAATTTTCTAAAGCCACAAGGGTTTAAATCTACTTTTAATTTGTTACTGTTTTGTCTTTAAATAAAGAGGAAGGAGGCAGTCTTTTTCTTTTTACTATGAAAGAAATATTTAGCTTGCTGAGTGTGTGAGTCACTGCCATTATTAAAGGAGTTAAGTAGTAGGATACCGTTTCTATACCAAAAACACACGGACATCATTCTAAGAACTAGAAACAGATTTTCCTACTATCTTTTTTTATATGCCAGAGCATCTTCAAGCTCTAATATCATGAGCAGCTTATTGGAAGAGGATATTGAGGATTGTGCTTGTAAAATAAGTGTTCATTGGTGTGTGGGCCAGTTAAAATCTCATACACTTCCAAGACCATACCAAGATATGCAGTCTACTTAAAAATGTCTATTGGAAAGGCATTCTGACACAAAGTTAATGCCACTTTGAACTCTATCTCCTGCTTTACAGGATAGCAGATAAGAAAAGCTTATGAATAAGATCAGCTCTGCTGAATCATTTTTCTAATTCTTGCTTTTTATTGCACTTTCAGAGAGAATATAGAAGCGCAGTCAAGTAAGTGCTGGCATTGCCAAGTTCAGTGTTTCATTATGTGCTTTTACACACCATGTCCTGATCCATTTTTACCCCGTGATAAAATCAGTATAGTCCCACTAAAGCTAATGGAGATTCATAGATTTTTTCCTGGTGTTTTTCTTCAAATGTCTTCTGTTAATGCCTGCTCATACCAACAGAATACAGTTCAGAAACTGGGTGGTCACTTTGCCTGTGGACTACAGGCAACAGATGGGAGGGGAGGCAGGGCATGAAGGTGGGTTGATGATCCAAAAGGAAACCTGGCTGAGGGCACAATGCAGCTTGGATTTGTGCATGGACCATTTTCACTGTTGGAACTATTTATAAAGGCTTCAGAACTGTGGTTCTCATTGCTACTGAGTTTTGTTCTTTCCTTACTAGCTTGCAAATGAGATTTTGAAATCCACTGTACCTGGTTGTGGATGGCAGCTCAGTCAAACCAACATCCCCAGAGCTTTTATCCTTAGGGTTTTTGAGGGCTGGGAAACACATGAGGTGAAAACTGTCCCCATGTGCAAAGCCTGCAAAAGGTCTGGGCACTGCTCAGCTTCTGTGTGAGCTGCTCTTCCCTGCTGCAAAGGAGCATTCTGCATCCCCAGAGAACCAGGGCAACCATTTGAATTCTCTGCTGTGCCCTTTATTTTGGAAATTTCGTCCTTTGCAGAGGGGAAAACTATATGATTTAGTATCTATGTATCACTTATTCCACTGAGTGTTCTCTAGTGTGGGCTGAAATTGTGAAAAAATCTCCAACACTCACCCCCTGCCCCAAGTAAAAAAACCAACCTCCCCCCCAAAAAACTTCAACCAACCAACCAACCAACCAAACAAAAACAAAACACAAAAAAAAGCAAAAAAAAAAAACCAAACCAAAACAAAAAGCCCTTAATAATTAGGCGTTTCTTGTAGTCAAGATGCTCTCCCTCTATTTTTAACTCAGCTTTCTTAGCAAAGAGAGAAATCCCAAAGCGTGGCTCCAGAAGAGGGCTCTCTCAGATTTGTTTGATGGATTCACTTATTCCTGACACTGCTCCTGCTGCAACCCCCAAACAGGCAGAACAGAAAAATCTGAGGAATCCCTTTCACAAAGGAAGCTTCTCTGTCACTGGTTTTGGGGAGGAATTTCCCTTAAGCAGAGCTGCCTTTGCTTTCCTGTGCTGTAGAAGTTGGCTCTCCATTTAATTGTGCTGCCAGGGTGCCTCTCCTTGTTCGGGGTGGTTCAAATATTTTGCTTATGCTTGAACCAGAGCTGTTTTGTGGCTGGGTGAGGAGATGGATCCTGCTTTTGCTGTACCTGGGCAGTAAAGGGAGGTGAGAATGGGATTTGGGTGGATCTCATTTCCTTGGAAGTCTTTAGACTCCTGCTAGTTCCCTGGCACAGCTCTGCTGGCACCAGCTCCTTGCCCACTTTAAACTGGGTGGCAGAACTGGCTGGTTAAGGTCAGCATCTCCATATCTCGCTTGTGGGTTTTTAAAGGAAGGAGGTTGATTTTTTTTCTGCAAATTTGATGTAATTGATGTTTCTGTTTGAGGAGAGCAGTAAAACACACAGCTCTTCTGCTCCCTGCGTTTTATCCCAGAGGTTCAGGGTTAAAACACATGAAAGTGAAAAGAGATAAACAATAGTGATGTGAAACTTAGCCAGAGCTCAGACTGGTGGCAGCACAAACGGAGAACCTCTGCAGGTGAAAATTACAGAGCTGAATGAAGTAAATTGTTTCCTCTGACGTGGTCAGGCTGAAGGGAAGTCTGTCATCCTGTCCTCTGATAAATATAAAAGCAGCATCTTTCTCTGCCTCCCTGCTACTCTTTTCCTCCTTGGCCTGTAAGTTGCAAATACCTCTCTCCTTCTGAAGCCACATTAAAGCTCTGATATCTAAGTTATTCAAAGTAAAACCAATTAATGTTGTTTTGATACAGAAAATGACGCCTTTGATGAATTATTTAGCTGTGCTCCAGATAAACTGGATGCTGTAAAAAAGGTAATTTACTTTTTTAGTGGACATAAAAAACTATTAGGCCAAACTTAAATACTGAAAAAGTTATTTATTCCTTTCCCCCTTTTTTCCCTTTCTTTTTTTCTTTAGGCACTTTTACAATTTGTTGACCAGCATGTTGGAAAATTAGGATTAAATGTGAAAGACATTGAATCTCAGGTAATGTGCTCCAAGCTACATGTTACCCATGTTTTGTCAGCCATTTGGGTGTTTCCCCTCACCATTAAGAGCTCTTCCTTTTTATTACTTTAATCTGAAAATTGGCAACATAATGATTTCCAGGTTTAGGTGAAGATATCAAGCTTTGGTCTCTGAAGTTTCTGAAGCTAATAATTAATGCAAAATTGCAACGTTCATAATAAATGCTGCCCTCGTCATGCTACAGGGAGTGATTTTCAGAGTCTGCCCAACTCCTGAGGGTGCTCTCTTTGTCAGGATGGAAATAAAGGTGTCCTGAACATTAAAATGAAACCCAAGTTTATTGCTGTATTGATTGTTGATGCTGCATTTGCTTCATGGTATGAAGGCCTTATTTTCATCACATTTCAAAGTCTCATTCTCTGAATGCAGAGCCTCTTTAGAGTATGAAATTGCGAGAGAATTTGGGCTGAGCACCCTGGGCTCTGGTAAATGGGGTGCTCTTCTGCATTTTTCCAGTGGGAAATTATACGAAAAGAAGGTTTTCAAGTGTTTTGTCATACATAATTAGGCACAATTTGCTACTATTTATAGTTATGCATTTATGCTCATCTGAAGTATTTTCATATTTGTAATAGGTTTTTTTAATAGCTGTCCTTTTACAAGGTTGTATTTTCCCAAGTATGAATTTGGGAGCCTTATCTAACTAAATATGAAGTTCACTGTGGAAGAGGTTGAGGGAGCTGAGTCATTAGACTGTCTGCTTGCCCAAGTAACATTTAAATTGCTTTATTGCTAGAATGGTATTTACTGGAATAGTTTACTGAAGCCAAGTAATTTTCAGGTAATTCTTATCTAGTTTTCAGATGGAGTTATCTTACTTCTCTTAATTGGACAACTAGAGGGTTACTTTCTGAATTTAAGGACTTTCTTCCTGACTCCGGACAGCACCACGGAGATGGTAGGTTATTATGTAATTATTTAGAGCTTGAGCCATCAAACTGTGTGTTCTGACTCTTGCTTCCACTGCAGCTGCTGTGTGTGAAGTCCCATGCCCACAGCATTTCCAGGAGATCTGGGGTCTGGGGCAGTGCCAGCACAGGCTCTTTGTGCTGTCAAAATATCTCAGAACAGGTTGGTGTCCACTTCAAAATTAGCATCTCATGGGAGGCAAGCACCTGTTACTTGCATTTGTTTGGCATGTCCATGCTTCTGCAGCCTTCTGGTGAAATCCAGGGCTCTGTGTGGTGGGAATGGGTGTGTTCTCTTCTAGCAGTCTGTCCTGAAAGCAGGATTTGAAGAGTGTGACACCTTTTGCGTAGCAGAACTGGATCCCTGTGAGTTTCTTTATGCTGCCCTAAAAATATACTTTAATCAAGGCATGGCCAGAACATTCTGAAGGCTCCTTCTGGGTTTGGGAAGCTCTTGAGAGTTTACATCCTTTCCTCCTCCGAGGCTGGGGGCTGGAACATACTCAGCCAGACCTGCTTGGCACCTTTTCCCACCTCTACTGGGCAGATTTCGTCTGTGCTTTAAAAGTAAAAGCTGTCACCAGCCAGAAGGAAGTGTGTGCTGGGCTGCCTCCTCCGCAGGTCTGGAATGTTGATAGATTTTGAGATATTTGAGGTATTTTCAGATTGTCTCTGGTGTGGGTAGGCTTTTTTTCATTTGGGTCACTGAGTAGCTCTGAAAGTCTTGAAACTGCAACTATTTTTCCTGGTTTGTGCTCAAATCTCTGGAATTGAAACGTGTCAGATCTTTTTTGCTTGAGAGCTGCCAGAGAAGAAAATCTCTCCTCTGGCATGGTTTGCATTATAGCTTCCCTGTGCAGATGAAGCTTTCATCTTATTCCCAACCTTAGCACAGCTAATGCCCCTGGGCCACATTTATTTGTAACAAAAATTCTCAGAGGTCTTATATTAACAAATAAATATTCCTATGGAGCTTTTCATCAGAAAGTTTAAAAGCACAATTGTTTGCCACCTAGGTTCAAATATTGTCAAAATTTCACTGCTGTCAGTTGGTAACTGCTTAAAGTGTTAGGAAAATAAGGTTGTTTTTTTTTTTAATCTAAGAACAGAGAAAATATATTTTGAGGGTTTGAATCAGACATAATCAAAGCATTTCCCTGGAGTTGTTTTTCTTCCCTTTCTCTTCCACTCAGTTTTCAAAATTGTTTGCTCTGTTCTCATTGAATCGGACAGAAATTTTTAACATTTCCATTAGCTTTATTCAGAGGAAGTCTCTGAATATTTTCTTATTCAAAATTTCAAGAATAACCATTTTCTTTTTGGTTCAGCCCTATTCTAGCCTCACAGATGTCTTTCTGGAAACGAGATAGCCCTAAAATTCTGGTACAAATCAAAGCTCAGACTTCTTAGTTCTTACCCTGCCCATCACTGGCATTAGAGAAGAATAGAATGGGGCTGGGTACTGCTTCAGTACAATTCTCTACATAAAATGAACTACATTTACAAAATGTAGTAATTTCATTTTAGCGAAGTTACTCCCAAGGACTGGACTTGCTGTGGAACATTTTGGCAAAGTGGTGTTTCCCATTTGTTTCTCCTCTGATGCTCATTACAAAATGAAAAGCAGGATGACACTACAGCTAAAAATATCGATCGACCATAGTTCCGCTGTCATTTGTACACAAAACATGTCTTTCAATTCCCCTGTGCTTTCTAACTCCCTGTCATTTTAGACATTAATTGGTGCAGTAAAGTATAAAGTATAAAATCCTTTGCTGGGATTTAAAAGATCTCATTTGTTCTTGGAATGGTGACAACCACATGCACTGTTGGGATCAGTGTGGTGCATCCACCTTACAGTTCCTTCTAATCAAAACCATTCTATGACTGAAATTCAGGAGATTATCAATTGTGAGGTGCAAGAAGACAACAAAGCACATGGGTGGGTTTGCTGCAGGGTTTTTGGGGACATTTACAAGTAACTGTAAAGAAATGCAGCTCTGGGTGCTCATGAATGTAAAAGGTGTGCGTTTTCTGTGACAAAGAATATGATCACAAAATAGTTCATACTGGAACTAGGGGTGATATCTGTGCAGTCAGGAGATGGAGATGATGATGATGGAGGGCTTGTTTGCTTATCAAAACTGTGTGAACTCAGTACTTTTGTCAAAACAGGCCCAGAGCTGAAACACGCCAGATGTCCTGGCTGCTGTCCAGTTGTAAATTCTAGAAAACTGTCCAGCTCTTTTGAGACAGGAAGAACAGCTGGACAAAGCACCTTATTTTCAAGGTTTCCTTTCTTATGTAATTACTGGTATTTCTGTCTGAATATGCTTTTTGAAATGTGCATGTTGTCATTCCTTGAAAATCCTCGATGCCCTTTTCCTGTGCTGGTTCACTAAGGAAACATTAGATTTATTCATTCTGATAGGCAAATTGTGTAGCACTGCATGGGCTTAACTCTCCTGTCTGCTGACTCTCAGAGGAAGAGAACAAACCTGAATCCAAACAGACAGTCTCAGGTACCTGTAAACCAGAGAACCAGGTGAAACATAAATCTGTTGCTTCACTTCAGAGCACAGGGGTTTTGCTTGGCTTATGCAGGGGGAACTCCTGTGCTTGTCACAACATAACAGGGAAGAGCAGCCTCCCAAAGGATAAATTGCCCAGTAGCTCAGGGAAGGCAGGAAGAGACAAGAATCAATCTGAAGTTCATTCAGGTCTTGTTACTCCTTTAAAGGAAGGGAATTTGCTAATTACCAGCCAAGTAAACCACTACCCTTAAGCTGTTAAAAGGGAATATTACTTTTGAAAAATCAATTACAACTACTACTTACCTGGGTGATGCTGTTATTTCCCTTGTGAAGAAAGGAGAATAAAAGCAGTGAGGAAAAATGAGAAAAACCCCTCAGCCTTCATTCATAGATGTGTTCTTTATTTCTGATGAGTGTTATTAAGGATATAATCACTACTGTTAATGTGAATATTCATTTTAGAAGTACAGCAGAAACTTTTAGCTAACAAGCATACCTGATCTTTGCAATTCTGAATGAAATATAGGGAACTTTTTCCTTTTCATTTGTTCCAAGTGTGGCAAGCATATGGGCATTGTTTCAAAGTACTCAGAAATAGACTACATGCATCCATTAGATCCAGTTAGGAATCTAGTCTGTTTTCCCCATTAACACAAGTCTTTCACATGCAAGTTCTATTTTAAAATAAATAGATTCTTCTGTCAACCTCATGGGATATGTTTTGCTGGAGTTGGATTTTGCATTTAATTTTATATGATAATTGGTAAAAATTCTGAAGAGCACTTCATCAAAACTAAGGAGAGGAAGTACAAGTACATATTTATGAATCTGTATCTTCAGCTACTAGAGAAATACTTTCTAAAACCTTCTGTTGGCTAGAAAATGTTGTAAGCTATATTAATATCTCTCTCTCTCCAACAGTTCCACAATGTTAACCTGGCATTGGAGTTGCTAGCAGAGGGAGGTCTTCTGAATTTTCCTGTGAACTCTGAAGGTGAGTCATGACATGCAAACTTGCCTGGAATAGAATTGCTAACGTCCTAGCTTAGCAAAATTTGGGTAATTGCAGGAAGCAGGTTCTGGAAATGACACCGACACATTTCATTATATGGCTGCCCTACAGCTCCTCATGCAGAATAAATGGTAGAGGTAATAAGAAAAAAATATAAATCATTATTTCTATACTAAAAAAGTTGCATTGTTATAAGTTTAACAACTTTACACTAAACTTCAACTGTTTAGGAATTCAATATTTGTCAAAGATTTAAACCAGTGACAGCTCATAGAGAAATTACAGCAGCTGAGCTGGAGGAAAAGCTATTTTCCTGTCTCATAAAAACTTTCAGGGCATTAAAAGCAAGCTTGTTTCTGTGAGAAGATAACTTGAAGAATTTCTCTGGAAAATCAGAAACACCAATCACTCTATTCAAACTCAGAAGAGTGGTGGGTCAGTCTCCTGAATATGAAAGTCAAAGGTTTTTAGTCTCTGTTATGCTTGGTTCAGACCTGGGAGCTGAATCTTGATCCTTCATCCAAGTGAATGCTTCCATCACTGAATCAAGGTGTATGCATGCTCCTCTTTCTTTCTCCACCACAAAAACAAACAAACGAAAAAGCTCCATTTGGATGAGTTCAGTTTTCCAATTAAAATATTCCACAGAAAAATTTGGTGCCAACTCCTGTTGGGATGAGGGAGGTGGTTAATTAATGGGTGGTACTGTGGTTGCAAAGTCTGACATCTTGCAGGGCATAAAATCCCAGCATTTCTCCACAAGCTTGTTGCTGAACAAGGAAGTCAGATCTTTATTAAAAATAAAAGGCATTCTTCCAGTTCTAGCTCCCTGTTAGTTATTTGTGAGTGGGTGCATGTGTTGGGAACATAACACATGGTATCATGGAGAGGGAAGAGAATTGTTTTTCCTTTTGTTCTCTTTTCCCACTACTGCTTTGGTGATGAGGTCAGCAGTTTGCATGCTAGGCACTCATGAACTGTGAGCTTTTTGCTGTGCTGCACAGAGCTAGGAGCCTGGAAAGCTAAAGAGCTTTTATTTATGTTAACATTAACAGAGTAATTGGTGTGGGCTCAGGTCTCCATGCTGAGATCCACCTTTTGTGTGAAAAGAAATAAATCTGTGCTTTCCTTCCTCCCCTCTGGCTGTTCTGTACTGCCTCAAACACAGAGCTGATCAGTATAAGAAATACTGGTGTCAACATCTGCAAGTCCTTTAGCTTCATTGGGGAAATCCTCAGCTAGTGAGGGAACTTGATATGATTTAGGGGTCCTTGCTACAGCTACACTATTTAGACTCCTCAAGGATCTCATTTTACTAGTGTTTCTTTGTTAGTCTTTCTCCCAGTGATTTACAGCACCATAAGAAGAACAGTAAATGCTCTGAATCCATTACCCTCTCCCACTGCAACTTTTAAATAAAAGAGCAGTTTATATAGCCAAGAAAAAAGAAGCTGAAAACTAAATGAAAAAAGACCCCAAAAAACCAAATAAAAAAACCCAACAAAAAACATTGCATCAAATGGCAGCAAAACGTGATGGAACAACAACAACAAAGTGTCTGGTAATTCCAACATGATTCCTGACACAGAATAATCATAAAAAGCCTCAAGATAAAAAGCACTATAAAATAATCTACTCTGTTCTTTGTTAGTGAATTTCTTACTCTGCATTATTTGCCCTTATTTGTCTTCCAGCAACAGAGTGCAGCAGAAGTCCCTTTTCTTCAAGTTAATTTAATAAATTATTAGTTTCTACCTCTGTAGTTTTTGTTTTGCTTCCTGTTGCAATTCCACTGTCCAAGTTCACATTATAATTGGGGCAAGGTGGGAGAATGTCTGGCATTGCAGTCTCATCTTATTCCAGGGATTGCTAATACTTCCCATCGGTTTTGTGTCTCTGCTTTGTGTATCCACAGATATTGTGAACGGAGATACGAAGGCTATAATGCGAGTTCTGTACTGCTTGTATTCCAAATACAAAACCAAAGAAGCATGAAGAACAAGGCCAAGGGCTTGAGCTGCCTTTTTTTTTCCCCCTAGCAGGTCATGGTGTGAATTTTGGACTCTCTGTTTGCCACTGTTTCTGGGCATACACTGGTGCTTGACACTTGCTGTATTAACATTCTACAGCAAATAGGTTGTTCATGCAAGGTTTCACATACACAGTCTGAATAACTATAAATGTGTGTCCACAGCTCATGTACTGTGTAATTCTATGGCTGTAGCTCTTGTTTCAGATCCTGCCTTCTGTTTTCTCTGAGCCCTGACAATGCTGCAAAGAAATTAAATGTGTGTTTATTCTGGGCTCTGCGTTCTTTTCTCCTGAAGGTGACTTTGAAAGTTATTGCATCCTCCCCATTTCCTTGCTTCAGGAAGTCTTTTAGGAAACTAGAGAGGAGAAAGACCCACCAGAGTGGGAAGGCTGAGACACACCTGAAGTTCAAAACCTGCTTTAGAGAGGTGGCCAGTGCTATCAGACAAGAGGATATGAATTGGATGCCAAATGAATAGGTAGCAAAAATGAAATCTGAACTTACCAGGTGTTTGATAAACATTTCAGTGCTCATTCGCTCGAATGGGGAAAAGGCACTTAGCACAATATACTGGTGTTAGACTGTTCAAGAACAGGGGGTTCTCCTGCACAGTTGTAGAAGGATGCCCTTATTTCCTTGCTAAGCCAGTGCCAAACTGCGTCCAGCTCCAATTGCAGCCCTGACACAAACTCTGGCTAGCAGGGATGCCAATCTCTGCCAAGCATGTTGTGAGAGGGAGTCACACATCTTCACTTTGTCTGCAGTAAGAGGTATGCAATGCTGGCTGGGCTCTGCAGCTGGTGGAGGTAAAGGCCACTACAGGTGGGAGCAGTGAATTCAGCTTCCCACCACCTCTGACAGCTGAGTCATCTCCTCAGGCTCTCCTAGGTGAATTTGTCCAGCCTCCATCCCCAGCCTCCCAGCAGTTTCCTCTGGATGCACCAAGGTAGCCACGATTTATTAACAGGCAGAACTCCTTTCAAAACCTCCATCTACTCTCTTGACCTTAAACTTATGTTGCATGAAACTAGAGATATAATTAGGAAAAAAAAAAGATTCCGTTTTTTTCTTTTTTGCTTCCATCTAAACTGATTTAATTTCCTGCCATTGGTAACTCTGACATTTGATCTCTGGTCTGATCCTCCATCTGTGTGTTAACGGGAAACCAGAGCTCTCCGAGTGCGAGTGCTGACATTTACAGAGGAGAATTTGTTGTGTCTACCTCTGGATCATGCAGCCCAGGGAAGATCCTTAGATAGCAATGCTGGTAAGTCTTTTGAAAATGGTAATATTGCACAGCTGCTGGGGGACAGAGCTGTGCAAACTACCCCGAGACCAGTCCTTTCTGCACCGAGAATTAGCTCGTGACATTTTAACAGAGAAAATACAATGTGTGATGCCAATGAGCTACCAAAATCACTTGATTCCCCAGCAAATGTTAGTTGTGTGTGCTGATCTGGACAATTTAAGTAAAGAACACTTGCTTCTTTCATTTGCAAGTCCCCATAGGCACCTTGCTTGATTCCTTAATTTCTTAATGGGCTTCCAAGAATCAACTGGGAGACCTTCTCAGAATTTTAGGTTTCTGTAACACTGCACAAGAACATGCATTCATTGTAGAATGAATTGCTATTGAGCAGATAAACCCAGGATGTGGCTTGTGGAGAGCAGGGGTGAGGGGGCAGGAGGGGCTGGGCAGTGATTTGGTAGCAGTGTGGCCTTTTCCTCCTGGGAAGCCATCCTGAACCTCTTGCCCTGTGCTGATGATCAGAATTCAGTTCCAATATGTGACTCCAGGCACATGGCCTGGGCTAGGAAAAAAGACACCAGTGCTGGAGGGTTAGCTGCTGCTGCCCTGGTTCAGTGGTTATTACTGCTCAAGGAAACTGCTGGACTTTTCTCTGTGTGCCCTGGGTTTTGTGTTCCACTTCTCTGGCATAAATAAATCCAGTGCTTCTCAACAGGGAAGTCTAGATCTTGCTATTTAATACAAGAAAGGGTTATATTCCCTTTTCAACACCAGCTTGCCTAAGCCTGTTATAAATAAGTCATTCTTTTGAAAATATAGAGGGAAAAAGATGGTTAATGTGCTTGAATCAAAAACATGCTGAGACCAAAAATTAACATTTTAATCTGCTTTTTATGCTCAGAGCAAACTTATAATACACTTGATGTGTCTGAACACTTCGATAAAGAGTCTGTGTTTGATTCCTAAAACATGCTGTGGAATTTTGCTAATCCATCACACAGACACCCACTCTATAAATTGGTGTAGTATACAAGTGCACTATTTACATTTGTGATGTAGCCACAGCCTTGGCACATTTTAATAATAAAGTGACTGAGCTAAAGAGAATATTCCAACACCTGTTTTAGTGGAAGGTGTCTCTGCCCACAGGAGAGGTGTGGGAACTGAATGATCTTTAAAGTCCCTTCCAAAGCCCTTCTGTTGCTTTTCCTGTCCCACAGGTCAGTGGTGTGGTGGCTTTGGGTCACAGCAGAAGCTGGCAAGTGGAACAGATCTGAAGGGTTCCCAAATCCTGTTTGCTGTCATCTTTCCATCATCCACCCTTTCCAAAATACCCAAGTTCATCCATAAAAACACACATTTCCAGAGTTGGAGTGGTAGGGCTGTGTGGAGAGCAGTGCAAGTGGAAGGGGTAGAGTCACTAGGATGACTTTGAGGAAATGTAGATGTACAGAAGTTTTCATTAACAGGATTGAGACTGGTACTGTCTGTAAAGTCTGAGACAGGGAACTGGAGAGCTGCCTCTGCTGTCAAACCTCCTTCTCCTCCTTGGGAAATGGTCCTGTCAGGATTACACTGACATTTCTGTCACCCCCCTCATGTAGCTGCAGCCCTGAAGCCAGGCTCTTGCTGCTTTGCAATGGGGCAGGGGAACTCCAGATGGAAAATGCTGACAGTCTCCACCTGCTTGATGGGTGGGAGTGCAATTCTTAGTGTTTGTCCTTTCCTTCCTTCTCATTTTTCCCTTTCCTTTTTTCTTTACACTGGTTTCTATTGTGTTGTTTCTTGCAGGGAGCCATCCTCACAGTGGCTGCTGTAAGTCTCTTTGGCAATTAGGCTTTTAAACCATAAAAGCAGCTCAGTCAAATTCTTCCTCTCCATAGGCTGTGCTTGTGTCTGTATGAAGGGATCTTGCTGTTCTTTTTCTTACAGACTGCTAAAATTTCCCCAAAGAGTAAAAGCCATTGTCAGTTTTTCATAAGTGATTTTTTTTTCCTAGTCAATTAATATTTTAATAAAGACTATGTGAAAGTGTTACTTTGGAGGAAAAGAATTAGTGTATATGAGCCTTTCTGCTCGCTGGAGAGGGATGGGTTTCCTCAGCCATTCAAAATGTTCTAGGATGGTGAGACTGTGAACAGGGTATAAAGACTGAGGTATGGAGAGATGAATTTCGAGGCAAGTGATAATGAAATCAAGACAGCGGAACTGTGGACTGGCATATCTCTGCTGTCCCATCTTCTCCATCAACCAAGTGTACTTTCTAGAACTTAAAAATTAGGAATAAAACTCCAAACACAACAAACCACCTCTAGGTTTTTTGCATTTTGATTTGAACAAAGTGCATCAGGATACCTTTGCTATTCACATCCCCCCTTAGTTTTCTAACCCTTTCCCCATGTCATTCCTTTACGACCAGAGTCCTAGAAGTCATTCTGCTTTAGCCACTAGCTAAAGTTCAAGTTACTAAGGATTTTTTCCCATTGATGCCCTCTCTCAGGCTGCACATAACTAATTCCACACACCTCAGCAACGAGCCAATAAAATAATACAGAATAGCAGCTAAATATTAGAGGAGAATGTAGTAGCTTGGTCAAAAAACAATTAGTTTTATCTGCAGAACTGTAACTGGATGCTTAGTTGGGAGCTTCCCAAATCTGCTGTCATGAAATGCTGGGGAATTTTAGTTGGGGTGCTTCATGCTGTTCCCTGCACTGTATTCCAGGTAGCATTGGGATTTACCTGCTCCACAGCTGCAGCCTGCACTGAGCTCATCCTTGGGCTGCAGGGAGCACACACCCCATGACAGGGATGCTTCAGTTTCCTTTGGGGAATAGAGCCCAGCTATAAGGTTGTGCCCATGCTGGTAAATGGAAAATTGAAATACATGATCAGAAATGGCAGTAGTGTAATGAAAATATGTTATTTTTCCTTTTATTATTTTTTTTTTCCTGAGAGAGACGAGGTCTGGTTTGTCCCCAGGGTTAGATGTCTTTCTAGACCACCTGTCACATAATCCATTTGCTAGCCCCAGAAGAACATAATAAATATTTTAAAGTCTGTAAACACTGCACTAGTCAGGCTGTCAAGGATCAAAAGCGAGGAAAAACAAAATTCACAGTGTAAAAAAGCCATAAGTACCAAAGTAGTTCTCTTCGTGGATGTTTTTACTAGAAATACTATTGCGGGTGTGTTATCTGACCCTAAACACAATTGAAGTGCACAATTCTGTTATAAAATAAGAAAAAGTCTGGATAATTTGGGCCACATTAAATTATACTAGTGTCATAGTCAGAAAAAGACTCCTAGTGGAATCAGATAGTTGTATTTTGTCAGCTATTCTGCAGACACACCAACTAAAATTATGGAAGAAATGTATAATCCTCTAGCATCCAATTTTTCTATGTTTACTTCTCCCTACATATTTCAGTATTTTGGCATTCTGACTCCTTGTCCACCCCAATTTCCCTCCATTTTGTGCCCCCCCTTGTGCTGCTGACACAGGTGGTCCAACAGCTCCTTCCCCTCTCCATACTCAGAGCTGCCAGGGTGCCACTGGGAAGGTATCTGGTAGAGAAGCTGTATTTGAAATGCAAAAAAGCTGTGTAGAAACTCTGGAAACACCAGCTGGCTGCTGTGTATAATAATTTAAAATGTTTCTCAGTGGTGCAAGAAGAACTTCTTTATCCTTCCTCCAACATTAAAAAAATATCAAAGATAGCAGATAACATTTTGACTGAGCCAGTGTGTTAGGGATGCAGAAGTACAGCTAGATCCAGTAATGAGCTTATTTTCCTTCCCCCTTTAACCTTTTGATGCAAGGCAGCTGGGATATGTGTGTCTGTGTGTGTGTAGTTTTCCTGGCTGTGTTCCCTTTTTGGCAGGAAGATGTTGAATAGGGAGGGTTTGAAATTTTTGGAGTGTTTGAGAACTTCAACAGGTCAGCCTCCTCTGGTAGAGTTGATGTATCCTGGGGTTTTTGTGGTTGTATAGGGGATTTATGGATGCCCATGGGTAGGAATTGTGTGTGCAGCAGTGTAACTTCTCCTGGGTGGCTCAGGTTGGCAGTGAACAGGTGGAAATAGCCTGGGGAAAGGGATTTTCCCGGATCTTGGACACCAAGCCAAGAGGGCGAGAGCTTGTTGATAGAATTTCTTGTAGGGGATCCCCACCGTGGAAATGTTGATTCTGGCTCACTGCTAAGTTTAGAACCATGTAAAACACGTACCCTGGACTTTATGCAGAGCAGATGGTCCAACAGGCTTTACTGGTTGGAGTGTGTCAAATAACAGATTGTCTAGAAAAGTTTGCTTGCTTTTGGCAGACAATTTAATTCAGCTCATAGCGCGTTACCAAAGTTCATGGTGCATCTCTGCAGAAGTGGGCAGCTAACACATTTTGTGTCATCTGCTATACCAAAAGTTTTTTAAATAATAAAAAAAATAAAGTAGAAGTTGTGTCCCTACTTGTTCTCTTGAGTGGAGGTGGGAAAAGGCAGCTCCAGTGTGTGAGTAGAAAATTAAATCCGGAAAATTGATTCATATTCCAAAGCCGCAATCTCCTTCCAGCTGGTTCAACATATTTTTTAAAATTCTCTTTTAATATATGTTTTGAAATAATTCCTCCCTTTAGTTTAGAATCAGGAAAACATAAAAGTCTCAGGCTTTATTGCAAAAAAACCCAAAAATAGATTCTGCAAACTTTTAACATTGACACAGAGTAGGCTATTAAGTGTAGGACCAGCTATCACCAGGTTCTATAAACCGAAGTAGTGTTTAATAAGAAGTGAGCATACACAAACATGAATGTTAAAGTACTGATAAAACTACTAGCTTGATCATAGTAAGTATGATCATTTTGTAAAAGGCTCCTTGGAAGAACTGGATTCTTCAGGTCCCTTAGGTAAGGCATTGCATGTTTTTCTCTTCTTTGTAGCAGTTTACTGAAAACATTGTAGTGTAATCCAGGCAAAGCTACCCCATTGAGCTGACTCACCTGGGCTAGTTTGTCATGCTGAGCAGGCAGGGCAAAGCTTTACACCCAAGTGACTTTCTACTGAATTGCTCTTTTAGCTTTATGAGATATGCGACAGTGTGAAACTACTTCCCAATTACCTCCTTGCTATTTAGCTGAGCTGATGCATTGAGCACCCCAAAGACCTGGCCTGAGACAGTGTTTACAGGTGATACCTGAGGAGCATAAAATCCTTCAGACTGTGCTTGTATGTGATCCCAAGGCGTGGCCATGTCTTTAAAATGGCCTTTTTCTCTATTAAATAAATCTGTAGCTGTGAATCACTGTGCATGTTTTACTTGTCAGTGCCTTGTTGCACATCTTGCACACGAAATCCCTTTGCCAAGGTGTGTCTTCTGCGAACCCATCCGTGCCCAACTCAGAGTGGAAGTCAGTAAATCAGTAAGTTCTTCCATGTGAGCCCTAAACCCCAGTCATTTTCCTTCTGCAGACCGTTAATCCAGTGACTGCCTTGCCCAAATGGGTGGCCAGCATGGCCAGCAGTGTGTCAGATGCTGTGACTGGTCTGTAGGTGCAGGGTGGGACTTTTGTTGACAAGGACAAGGGTGGGGGGGACACCCTCACTCTCCACAATTCCTGTGGGGCTCCATGTTTTTGCAGACCCAGACGACAGCAGGCTCCCTCCGCACAAATCCAGCCCTGCTGACAGACAATGCTGCTGCCAGCTGGCACAGTTTTATTATGACTTTATTATTAATCAGGGTTTGTCAGTTTTCTGTTGCTCAGCCTGTCTTGTTCTCAGCAGTGGAGCTGCCAGAGCCCTCAGTGGGGTGAGGCAACTATCATTTTCTGCACCTCTTTTTCCACAGGCATTTGCCATCTCCTGGAGAGAGGAAACCCTGCCCAGATCCTCCAGCTCCATAGGTGAGGGGATGTGGCAGTACCTCTGAGGAAGTAACCTGTGAGGAGGAGCAGCAAATACCCCATGACAGCTGAGAAGCGTGGCAAGGCAAGGAGGGAAGGGGATTTGAGTTTTACCTGGAGGAGGAGAGCAAGCAGGCACAGGTAGCCTGGAGAAGGAAGAAACTTGGCTGGTACTGGGACGACAGCTGGAGGATGCACAGGGAAGGTTTATATTTTCTCAACAACCTCACAGCTCTCCTTGTCTTACCTTCCAAGAAGATGCTGACAGCAGAAAGACAGAGTAACATAGACAAGAAAACACAATCCTGATGGATGGTTGGGAAATTTCATGCGTGTGTCCCTTGGAAGAAAGAGCTCAGTGGGCAGCAAGCTGAGCATGGTGTGCTTTAATGCCAGCTCTGAGGTCTCAGCTTGTGCTGCTTCTGCTGGTGCAGAGCCTGAGACTTTGCTGGAGCTCAGCTGCATATAGGCTGTCACATAAATGCTCAGGACAATACCCACTGGGGAAATGCTGGTGGGCAGATAGTACTTCCAAAGAGATTTTTTTAATGGTTCGGTAATCAAATGTATCGAAATCCACCAGCAAACAACCTCACTGAGCATGCTGGAAAATTCTCTGTTCTCTGACTTCTCACTGCCTTGTTCCTTGTGAGATTATTCCTACAAAACTAGGTATGAAATGCTGCCAGCACTGGTGTTAATACATGGGTGGAAGTGACCACATAGCTCTGAGGGTAGAAGAATGAAGGTCTCTCAGAGGTGGCTGCGTATGAGGAGAGGTGGAATGTGTGCCAGGCAGGCAATGCCTTCCCTCCAACCTCCTCTACCCAGAGGAGGCATTGATACTGTCCAAAAATGGTGCTTTCTCTGGCCTGTGGGTGTTCCTTTTTCAAGACTCCCACCACTGAGTTCGCTGTGAATTCAGTGGGAGTTAAACCCAATTAGAGCGTGTTGGAAAATCCTTTTCAAAATACGCAGTCTGCCGTCGTGGGGATGCTGCATGGATGTCCTCCAGAGCAGCTCCTAGACAAGCAGGAGTGTCACAGAGTGCTTGTGAGAGTGACAGACCCCACCCGTGGAACACAAATGGCAGGCTAGGTGGGAGGAGTATGGGTGCTGACCCTTACAGGGAGAACCATGGACACATGCCTGGGAAGAGATCCCACCTCCTCCTCCCCACAACTTTCCTCTGAACAAAATCTATCACAAACTTGGTGGCTCCAGAAAATCCATTTGTTGCTGGCTTGGAGCCAGTCCAATCAAGAAACGCTCCTTTGCAATCCTAGTAGCAGCATGAAAATGCTCCCTCTGTTTTTGCTCCTAAAATATTTTGGATTAGCTGCAGATAATTGTGCTGACTGTTCAGTGGCCGCCTCTCTGCATACTTAGTCATATTTGCATGTAGCAAAGAGTACTGGACCACAAACGAGGATATTCCCTTATTACTTTCCAATATCTCTGATTTCCTCTCATTCAAGCTCTGAAGAAAATCCAGCATGTGTGGTTTAAGAATTGATTGTCTATCGAGGAGCTGAATCAAACAGAATATGGAAATCCTGTTTGCATTATCTTTGGAGAAATCGCTGTAGATAACCAGTAGTTTCCAAGCACGGGGTTTGGTTTTTAACTGCTTAGTAATCAGACATGGCAAAATCCATCAGCAAATAGCCTGAATTACTGTACTGGAAAATTAACTAATAGCTGGAGGTATGCTCTTCTCTGAAATTATTCTTTCTGTGATTTGACAGCAGCAGTAATCCAATTGCTGTGAGTTTAATTTCATATTTATCTGTCTGTGAGGATGTGTTTTAATGCTTGTTTTAGCTTGCTGCCTTCTAATGAAGATTATTTATTTAAAAAAAAAAAAAAAAAAAGGTGCTTTGGAAACTAGATTGATTTCATAGCAAGTAAAGCCAGGGTGAGGTGCTCCTCATGCCATGTGCTGGAAGCAGGGGTGGCCAAGGGTGGTCTCCATAGGAAAACATCTCACCACATACCCATGGCAAGAGCAGGCATTGCTCCTGCAGAGGGAAAGGGACTCTGGGGAGATGCTGCTGCATAACCTGTTTTTCAGAATTATTTAGGCCCTGTTACTTTTCATTTTATAATGCTGTTTCTCAGCTCTCTGTAGTTTCTGACAGTGTGTATGGAGGGGGTGTGTGTGTACTCATCTGCCTTCCTGCATGAGAAAGTCTGTATAAAATTCCTTTTCCAGGTGCCCAAATGAGCATAATGACTAAATGGTGAATAATCCAGTAAATTAGACATTTCAGGAATCATTTTATGGTATGAAAAATTGAAAATCTGAACCAACACAAGCTGAATTAAAGAACTTTCCATGAGGGTGGGGGTTTGTCAGGAAGACTATAGTTAGTTGCAAATCTGCATTTCACTGTGATTACAAATCACGGCAGAAATATCCTTTAATTTGCAAAGGGGAAGAAAAAAGCACTGATGTAAGCCAACACCTCTGACATAGCTGCTCTGTGCTAAACACTTGGGGGATGCCTCCATTGGGTAGAATTTCCTGCTTGGCAGTGATGGGGTGGCTGTGCACTGGGACATGAGACCACTTTATGAATATTATTTTTCTTTAACACAGTGGTTATCCTTCCAGCCTTTTTCTCTGTTTTCCAGATTCCAGAGTCTGAAGTATATTCCTGATAATTATCATGGGAAGAGCCATGGTGATAGTGGTACCTTTGTATTCCCTTGGGGGAAAAAAAAAGCCAAAAACAAAGCTTTTGAAGTGGTGACTGAGTTGTGTTTTTTAATTCTTCAATGATTGCCTCAAGCAGGTGAGAGCAAATATCAGATAATGGGTCTAGAAAAATAATACTATTAATACTATTGCTAATAGAAATATCAGGCTTATCTGCTTTCAAAGGATACCCCACTGCCTTGCTATTTAAACAAAGAAACAAAGAAAAAGATATGTGGAGCTGCCAACCTTTTCCCCCCATTCAGATTCTCATGCCACTATCAGTTATTTGTATGCAATTTTTATCCTTTTTTTCTGGGCCTTGCTTTCCCCCTCCCTTTAAGCTTTGTACTTAATCCTACCCACGACAATAAATACACTAAGATGCAGAATCTGTCTGCAGATCTTCACATTTTGCCTGGGTTTGCCTTCTCTCTCTGCTTCCCTCTCTGCTGCTCTGAGGAGGCTGGGGCAGGGGAAGAGATAAAAGTGGGCATGTGAAAGAGGCATCTCTGACATTGTGAACTTGTAAACTCTTGTGAACTTCTCCCGGAGCTTTTGTGGGGCTGAAGAGAGGCAGGTGCCTTCTTCATGCCTCTGTCAGTATTTTTAAGGAGGAACCATCCTGGAGCAAGGAGTTCTGTCCCTCTGCTCTCATCCCAGCTGATAATAACACGGCAATATAGGTGCTAGAACATGATGAGAAGACATGAGGACTACTTGAGAATTTCTGCCTTTATTTTTAAGTAACAGTCCTTGTGTAATGCTATAGAAAATAATTTGATGGAGGGACTCAGTTGCATTCCTGTCCTTACTGGGTATAGGGTGAACCTCAGATGCTGCAGTTGAGCCCTGGAACTGTGCATGGAAGGGTCTTGGTGGGACCACAGAAACCCAAGCTGTGCCTGTCTGGTGTTCATCTTCCAGGTGGATGAAGTCTGGCCTGTGGCACTGCTGACATGGCATCATGGAGGGGAGAGCCCATGGCTTCAGCTGAGTGTGTCACCACAAGTGTAGGACAGGACTGTCCCACACTGGCTGGTTGTGTGTTCATTCCAGCTCTGCAAAACTCCTAAGATGCTGTTACCTGCTCTAGGATTTTGCCATCAGTTTGTGCTTTGGATCAGCAAAAGTTGGTTTGAAAAGACTTGGCTGTATTTTAGACGTATATCTAGTCGTAGAGCAGGAGTGTGTTATTATTGCTTTTCCACAAGTATCTTCCTTCTGCTGGAAGATGCTCTGCCGCTTGGCCTTTCTCAAGCTAAATGAGAAAGATCTAGAAGCAGGAGTTTTGAACTTTATTACCCAGGAAGGACACTTGTAATTTAATGCAGTTACTGCCTATTTAAAGACTCCAAAAGGTACTGAGACCCCTGAGATGGGCACTGGGTTTCTAGAGGAAACAAATATCTAGTTATGAAATTATTCATTCATGTCAGTCAGGTGTTGCCAAAGCAGCATAAGATTGTCTACTTTTGTCAGTTTCAGTTCCTATTCTATAGGAATATTTCCACTGCAATTAACACAGGGATGTATGACTGTATGTCCTGACCTGTTTGCCAGGAGATCCAAAAGATGTCAGGGCTGATATTCCTTTCTTCTGCATAGCTGTAGTCGATAAAAATAGGCAAGGACGTCTTCTTTCAACGTAGTTGTATTGAGAGGGAAATGTGTATGCAGGGTACTTTCGTTGCCCAATAATGAACATGAACAGAGAAGGACAGAGTGCTCAACAATTTGTGGAAATGAAAATGAGTAGAGCAGGAGCATTGATGTGCCTGAGGAAGGAAGGCTCTACTCAGGGATCTGGCCAGGGTCAAGTGCACCTGTATGAGACAGAAGGCGGCAAAATGCTGTGTCCTGCCCTTTGGTCTTTCCCACCCCATGAAATGCAGCAGGCTGGGGGAAGAGGGGCTGGAAACTGGCAAGGAGCCAATGGCATGCCAGCTTCTGTCAGAACCAGTGAGGCCAGCAGGAGCAGAGCAAGGACTGTCCTCTCCCACAGGGCAGCGCTGATGCTGTTCCTCAAATCCTGCATTCACTTTTGGTCCCCGTATGATAAGAAAGACACGGAGGTGCTTGAGTGTGTGCACAGAAGGGAATGGAGCTGAGGAATGGTCGGGAGCACAGCTGTGATGAAGAAGGGCTGACGGAGGTGGGGGTGTACAGCACAGTGAAAAAGCCGTTATAGGGGGACCTTATAGTTCTCTAGAGCTCCCTGAAGGGAGGTTGCAGGCAGGTCAGAGTCATTATATTCTCCCAGGAAACCAGCAATAGGAGCAGAAGAAATTACCACAAGTTGCACCACAGGAG